GGCTTTTTAATATAGCTGTGCTTGCATGATGCATATTGCTCATCTCTGCTCAGTGCTTGCTTCGAAACAGCAAGATCCAGAATTAACTTGCTTTCTGAGAGGAATGACTGAAAGCAATAATGATAGAATTATGCCTTTATTGCCGATCACATGGGTGCTTTGTTGCCTAGCTGAAAATCATTTAAAGCATTTTCTTAACAAAGAATCTTCAGTAGTATTAAAGATATTTGCAGCTATGTTTACAGAAGTGGTCAAAGATCATCTTAGCGTAAGAAGAGTAATCTTGAAATCCTTAAAGTCTTTCAATCATTAGAAGAATAGCAACGGAAAGGAAAGTATTAAAGCTTCCAGTCAATGACAGCTCTTGAACAAGAATATTCCGTCTTAAATACCATCTTCATTCTTTGATTTTATTCCATTACTTCCCCTATATTTGTTTTGTGTTTGCATGTGTTTTGTTGAAGTGACGCGGCATTTGTAGCCCTTCGCTCAGTGTGTGCCTTTTCCTTCCCTTTTCCTTCACAACTGCTCCAGCCTGATCGCATAAACCCAGATGACATAGATTTAGAAAATGAACCCTGGTATAAGTTCTTTTCAGAACTGGAGTTTGGACGTCCGGTAAGTGAGGACAGAATATTAAAAAATATTTTTATATGAATTTAACAATTACCAACTTCAGCAAACATGTCCCAGTAAAGTTAATGTGAACTTTTTTGAGAAAGGTCAATACAGTCATCTAATGCATATAACATTTTTTTTTTTAAGTGGAGCCCTAGCTTGCCAGGGTTGTGACTTTAATAACTTAAATATGGGCTATACATTAGGGCTGGATTAGGTTCAATTTCTAATTTCCAGGAGAATGCCCTGGGAAGCAGCCACCTTCTTGTACCTGCTCAAACACCAATTGCAGAACCTGCAGCTACGTCAGTGAGAGAAGAAGAGAAAGCAAACTACATACTTTCCTTTAAAAGTTGTTGTCCAGTGTATCAAATTTATCACTGATTACCTTTTATCTCCTTTTGTCTAGCCATGGAAGCTGTTTTGTCATTCCTCCGCATAGGTAGGCAGAAACAGTCCAGATACATTCTTCTGAAAACGATATGTTAACAGTTTTACTCAGAATGATAATATCATTTTTATTATTTTATTCTCTCAATTATATCATTGAGAGAGAGAGAGTGGAGAGTGCCTCCTCTGAGATGAAGAATGTTGAGGCTTATCCCACAAAAATGTAACTATGACACCTTATGCTGTCTCACCAGTATTAAATACAGCTAGTACTGATTCAGTCATTCCATTGTAAACTTTACCACCTAAAGTTACTAACATATTACTTAGATGCTTAAAAAATTAAGAACACTATAACACATTCTTTCTCCCATTCTACCCATTTGTGTCACTCTTGCACCTGATGTTGTCAACACTTAGTTTCTAACTGTGTCACCTTCTCCACATTTCATTCCTTGCTGCCATTGATTCTCCTCCATTCCATCTCTACACTTCTGCTTATATGATGCAGCCACCTAAAAAGCTTTTGGACTATGTTCAAGACAGTTCTTCCGGTGTTTCCAATGAGGTAAATGAATGATTCTTGTTCAGGTGATTCTCTTGGGAAGAAGGATTGGCATGCTTGCTCTTTGTGTCTGTTTGTTAGAATTTTGTGGGCTCCTCCTGATATTTATTAGAAGTTTCTAATTCATGATCACTGTGTCTTTGTCTTCATATTTTTCCAGATCACTAATGCATTTGGATGTTGATCTTATTATCCTAGGAACTGTGAGTTCTTATCCCCAAAGCTGCTCAGAGATTAACAATCAGAACTACGCAACAGCTCATGTGTCTCTAAATCTTGACCAATTCCAACTTCTTCAGAGTTGGGCAAGTGTGTTGCACTCACACACAATTAATACATCAGCATAATATTACCTTTTATTAAAATATCTGACTGCAAATTCTATATGTCAAGTCAAAGCCTTTGTGACTGAGCTATCGCTTCTCCAATTAAGTACTTCTGACTGAAGTCTGGAAACTGAAAATTTATAATCCTGTTGTAAATTTGCAACTGCAGAATTGGCAGCCGCTGAATAAAATATATGAGGCTGACACTGCCCTACTCTGAATGGGAGAGATGCAGGCTTTCATTCTTTCTCCTATTTGCTCCCATTTTTAGAGTGTTAGGGCAAAAGTCAGTGACTCCAGCAATAACAACTCTACTTCATACAGTGGCTTTGCTTTTGTCATATTTGTGATTCACTTTCTTGGAATCTCCAAAAATTGAACAAAAATTGTGACCTTAAATTGTTACTTGTGTTGCTGATTACTCTGACTTGGTTTTAAGCTCTACAAACTTGGAAAAGCTTTACAGTTGTGAAATTTAGGCCCAGTTCTCTGAGAAAATAAACTTCTAGGCCTTTCCTGCTCTATGTATTAGAAGACAGTGTAAGAATCCTCATCTTTTGTTTTGAAAATTTAAAAGTCTTTAAATTTAACTCCTGTTTGGAAATTACAGTGAATTCAGTATTTTTTCTGCAGAAAATATCGTGGAACAACTCATTAAAACATTAGAAGCATGATATAAACAAACCTGTTTGTTGTTTTTAACTTTTGCCTACCTTCTTCATTCTCAGACACCATTAAAGCTTTGATGCATGAAAACATCTATAACGTTGGCTTAACTGTATATGCATATTTCACCTCTTTTAGTAAAACTGTATCAAAGTATTCAGTAAAATCTGTATTTGTAGGTTGCTATGGTTGTTTCTAACACTAAATTGTTTTTGTCAGGCAGCTGCCAACAGTGGAAATGATAAGCAACTATATCCACTACTTGGTTTCACCTTTTCCCTCTATCAGTGTGGTTATACCAGTGGGTAGAAGGTATAAACTTCACTACGGATAACAATGTATGTGTGTGTTAATAATTGGTATGGTATGGTACAGCATATATGCCTCCGTATGTCTTCCAAAATCTTCAAAAGACTGCATCAAAGGGGAAAAAGAGCACGTTACATCCGAGGTGATATCTTAAAGGAAGGAAAGGAAAAGCTGTGTAGCAGCACAGCAGTCTGTTTTTGGATGACACACATTTTTTTCTGTCTTAGGCTGATTGCTAACATGCTATATGCAATCTGGGGAGTGCTGCGGATAAAGAAGCGCTTTGTGGTTTTGCTTCAGTTGTGTGGTTTACCTCTTGCCTTCCATAGGAGCCAATGGGAGCTATGCTGCCCTCAGGATTTGCGTTATGGTCTGTATGACCCTGCAGTCATTACAAGTGGTGAGAGCTCTCCCTGCCTCAGGTGTTTGGTTTGTATCCTGTGACACATGGCCTGGTCTGCCTCTGACTGGAATGGCACCTGCACAGAAGGCCTGCAGTGACAGTGCTGTGCTTGCACTGCCTCACAGGCAGTTTGAGGTTGAGGCTTATAGTGCTAGGCGGCTTTGAAATAAGATTTGTATTTGACAGAACGTGTTTTGTAGATGTTCCTTCTGTGTGGCAGTGCAGCCTTCTTCACTGTGCTGTGTGGCGGCATGTGGAAAACTGGGGTTACTCTGTTGGTGCCAGCAGCTGTGCCAACGCTGGCTTTTGTGGTTTTGCTGCAGACAGATTTTGTATTTAGATGTGTTTTGTTAAAACTTTGACACTGGACACTTGAAAATTGGCATATAGCAGTTTTCAGCTTTCAGAAGATCTAAAGAAAAGCTTGAAAATATGAACTGAACAGTAAAAGACTCAGGACCTCCTTCTGAATGTACTCTAAAAACAAATATCATGATATTTTGTTCAGGTGGGCTGAGTTAAAAGGAATGCACTCATTATCCCCACACGTGTTCCAAATATAAAATAGGGATCATTTCGTAAGCAATGCCAGCAGGTTTATTGCCCGTTTGAGAATGTTTGATGATGATCAGCACACCTCCGTAACAGAAGCAGCTTCAAAGCACAGGCTTCTACTTACACTGCTGTTGGGAAAGTGCATTAACTCTTCACTTGATCCTAGAGCAGACATAAGGTTTTGTATCACAGGACCCCTTCTCTGTAACTTGCAGGTCCACTGACTCTATGAATTAAGTTACAGTACACGAAATGCTTTGGTGAACAATTACCCATTTCTGTTCTTCGCTTTAAAATAAAAAAACTAATAGTGGATTGTATTAGTAAAGTCATACATAGGTTGTTTATCACCTAAGAGCAGTGCAATGGCAAACAATTTAAAAAGAAAGCAAATCAGTGTTTTACTGGGAAAATGAAATTTGTAAGAAGTAGCTTTGCATTCACATGAAGAAAAATAGGTTGGTTTTAGCAAATAAAACAAAAATATATTATGTTGTGATAAAGCATGACTGTATTCCACAGTCCTGTGCACGCTCACTCTCATGTGCTTACGCAGTGATAAGTGTCACTTCTGCAATCCTTTGGTATGGAGAAAAATCTGTAAAAAAAAAAAAAAAAAAATTCCTTTTTAGAGAATAAGTCTAGAAGGCTTCTACAGAGAGGAAAAGTAGTTGACCATGAATGTAAGGTGGCCAATAATTGGCCAGAAAAATCCAGGGTCCTTCAGCAGATTTTGCTTCTGGCTATAACTGATTGTGAAATTCTGGAGAGTAATTGAGATGGAGGAGAAGCTTTGCAGATGTTGCTTTGTACAAGGAGGAATCATTTTCAGATTTTTATATTTCATAGTCAAAGATAATTTCAGGTGTTGTGTATCCATTTTTGAAAACAGTATAGAGAAGCATGGCTCTAAATCATTATTTTAGCGCTTTAAAAACAAAAATACAACTGAAATAGAACACAGAAATAAATCAAGCGATGCTTTTTAGAAACTGCCTGAGTGAATATTGCAGTATCTCTGTGCTGGAGCACATAGTATGTTGATCACTGTGGTCTGTTTTTATAGGATGTCATGGAGTAGCAAACATAATAATCCAAAATGTAAGCAGAAATTGTCACCTTTTTTCATATATAGGCATATAACAGATTTATGTATTTGTTTTCGCAGACATCCTTATATCATCACTCTTCAACAGACAGAGGCCTGGACAGGCCTTCCAGGTAAGAAATACAGTATGTGTGACTTCAGTGCACATTTCACAGCCTAAGGGCTTTCTTTGTGACCTGAAGCCAGCAGATGTTGAAAAGGGTCAAATATTAAATTTCACCTTGTGGATTCCTAAGATAACGGGAGGTACATGGAGAGGATGTTCATATTTTGATACTCAAGTGCAATTCTTAGTTTTGTTTTTCAAGGACTTACTGTTTGCATTCAGTGTAATCCATGCTGTATTCTGGGTCTTTCCAGTGACATCCCTGAGCTTCTCAGCTTCAACACTCCTTCATTTATTCTTACTGCTTGCAACGCTTTTCTGTGCTGTTCCCAGAAGCTTGTTACCTCACCTGTTCTATCGCCTTTTCTCATCTTTACACTGAACTTCTACTCTAGTGCTAACAGCAACTTACCATTTAATTTTTTGTCTGTAGCTGCATTTTACTACTCACACTGTTATTTCCATAAAGGCATCTCTTTTAATATCTTATTCAGCATCCTTAATAATCAGAGTGCTTAACCTGAATGCATCTCAGTTTGGTAGAGCTATCTCAGTAGCCAGATCTCCTGGTGATACTGTCACCTGATCAAAATTAATATGGAAAGACTTTCAAATCATTAGTGGCTGATACTTTTGCAGTATTTCAGAATTTACTCTAAAAAGCTTGGTACATTTATTTCAAAGTCATCATTATGAAAGCAATATTAACAATTTTATATGAAACTTCGATACAATCAAGTGAAGAAAAAAATCAGCTTTTTTCTGTCAAATGTGCTGTAAGAGAGCTGAGCCCAGTGCTTCTCCCCTGTGCATGTTTCAGATGTATTTCTTCTGGCATTGCTCAATCCATAAGCAAATAATGCAATTACGAGCTTGCTTTTTAATTACTGAGTTGTTATTACAGAGATGAGGCTGCTACTAATACTGGTTGTTTTTATAGTTCTGCAAGTACTGCGAGTGACTATAGGAAAAGGAGGAAGTCAGAACCTGCTGTAAGTCATCAGAGAGCACACAGTGATCAGAATGCAAACAGGCCCAGCCTGGGCCGTACAGATATGCAAGGCCCATACACCACCCTTAGAAAGCCTTTAACTAGCTCGTCTCCTTCTTCTCCATCACGAGCAAAAGGTAAGAGGACATCATATTTGTTAGGAGGAAATCTGATGATGACATGTTGTACAGTCTCTTGGTAGTAAATACAACTGTTGTCCACTGTTGCTGAGTGCACTCTGTAGGGAGATTTACTGTATGAGGGGCTTTGGACCTTTCCTTAAAGACTAACTTGTTTATCCTTACACGTGTGTGCAATTCTAAGCTGATCAAAAGCTGGACTTGTAGTAAGGGTTTTCCAGTTTCATTTGCCCCTTCTAGGACACAGAAAATTGGTTTGTTAATAAAACTTTAAGGAATTTTACATTATGGTACAAATCATATTCTTCATTAAAGTGCACTTTTCTCTTATTATACTGTTCTTAGGATATGGAGAAAATAAATCAGGACAAATGCTACGTGAGATTAAAGATGTGTTTCCATAATAGCAGTTTGGGAGTTTTAGGTGTTTTTATTAGCAAGACAAAAGGTTTCCAGCAAAATATATGATGGATGTAATATACAGAGCACTATCTACTACAATACCCATCCTTGTATCAAAGAAAAACAGTGAGAAATACTAAGAATGAAGTGATAGAAGAACAGATTTTTTTTAAAACCACTGTTAAGATCAGTAAATTAAAAAATAATCTCATCCATTTGGTGCACCAGGGCAGACAGTGAAAAGGTGGTAAACTCGGTTCACCTGCATTTACTTTTTACTGCACCACCTGTCAACTGTCTGAACATTAATCAGATCAAAAACTCTGTACAGCATTCAGAATACACATTTTTGAAATATAGTTAAGCCAGTGTTTGAAACATAGTTAAGAATGTATAATGGAATAATTTCTTAAACTCAGCATATACTAATAAGAAATTTAAATTAACTAAGAGATACAAATTTTGTCCAATTTTTACACTTTCTGTACTTATCATTTAATTTGATTACCACAGGGGAAAAAAAAAAGTGATCTATTTAAACATAAAAAGTGATGGTCTTAGCTCTAGGGATAAAACAATTTATCTCAAAGTTATAATTCTGGAGTCTAGATTTTTGGTTTGACTTCATCTTTTTTTTTTTTTTTTTTACCTACTTCATGATCAATATTGATAGTTGTTTTCTTACACTGTTTTGTTTTTGTTTGGGAGGCGGACATCACCACAATTCTTAAGGAATTTGGATTTATTTTTTTCAATGTTCAAATTATCATAAGTGTGTTATTAAAGCTGGAAAATGGTTCATTAGCTCTGCAGTCCTGGTCTGTAGAAACGTATGTGCTGTTCAAAGCTGACAGAACAGATGCACTAATGGCTGTCTCTTTTCTAGTCTTTCTGATACTTACTGATATTAATTCCAACTTTCTGAATCTTTTAATTTCTGGCAATGTCTCTCTTTTATCATGCTGCTCTATGGATTATAAAGGTGGGGATATTAGCAAAGTATATCCATCCCTCCTCAGTTATTCAGTGCACAACCACAACACCTCAAATGAATTAGATTACTGTAGCACTTACAGACAACATTTAGCTGTTCCTAATGATTCAAGGAGGGCAATCAGCTACAAGAATGGCTGGCAAATGACTCGACAAAATGCAGAAGTATGGAGCAGCACAGAAGAAACCACTTCTCCAAAGAGAAAATCTCGTAGCTGTGATGATCTTTTAACAGATGATCGGGATGGCTTTCCCGATGCACAGGCCAAGTCTGAAAGCATGGTCTCTCTTCTATGTGAGGAGGATGCTAAAGAGGTTTGCTCAATGAACTGGGCATCCCCATATGCACCTGAGGGCCGTGGTGGTGGTAGGGCAAGAGTTCGTCACAGATCTGCGCACGATGCCCCAGGTTTCCTTAAAATGTACAAAAAGATGCATCGTATCAATCGCAAGGACTTGATGAACTCGGAGGTGATCTGTTCTGTGAAGTCCAGAATACTGCAGTATGAAAAAGAACAGCATAAAGGTATCCTTCAGGGCTGGAGAGAATCTTCTACGGAAGAGGTGCCCAGAGATATGGTGCCAACCAGAATATCGGAATTTGAAAAACTAATTCAGAAGTCAAAATCAATGCCAAATCTAGGTGATGAAATGTTGTCAAACATTACACTAGAGCCTCCTAAAAATGGCTTATGTTCACAGCGGCGATTTTCTATCGAGTCTCTGCTGGAAGAAGAAAATGAAGTCAGACATCCCTCTCAGGTACAACGGAGCTACAAGTCTAAAACCCTGGTGCCAATTCATATTGAAGTGACCAGTGATGAGCCACAGCGGTCACATATGGATTTCTCAGACAGTGATCAAGATGGAGTGGTTTCTGACCTCAGTGACTTTATCCAGATAGAGGGGTCATCCTTTTGTAGTGAAAGTGACTTCGATCACTATTCCTTCACATCATCTGAAAGCTTTTATGGATCGGGCCATCACCACCACCACCACCACCACCATCACAGGCATCTCATCAGCTCCTGCAAAGGGAGATGCCCAGCGTCCTACACCCGCTTCACCACCATGTTGAAACATGAAAGGGCTAAACAAGAACCTGCTGAAGATCCAAGGAGACAGGAGGCAGAATCTGGCCTCTCCAAGATAGCATTCCTAGTCAGCCCAGTGCCTTTCCGAAGGAAAAAAAGTGCAGCCCCTAAAAAACAAACTGAAAAGACAAAACGCAAGTCATCCGTATTTGAAGCACTAGATTCTGCACTTAAAGACATCTGTGACCAAATAAAAGCTGAAAAAAGAAGGGGAAGCTTGCCTGACAATAGTATATTACACAGACTGATTACTGAGCTGCTTCCAGACATTCCAGAAAGGAATTCATCTCTTACAGCTCTGAAAAAGAGTCCCATGCACCAGCCTTTTCATCCACTGCCTCAAGATGGTGCTACTCATTGCCCACTTTACCAGAATGATTGTGGAAGATTACCTCTTAGTGCCTCTCTCCAAGACATGGACACAACTAACAACAATAACCAAGAAAATGATAGTGCACTGTGTTTCCAAGGTGGATTCACTTTCTTCCTCTATCCTTGTGATTTATTCCCTGTATTTCCCACCCTTTCTCATTCCATTTTTATTTGTGTAGTATATAAGAGCAATTCATTCCACTAATGCAGGAAGACTGTTATTTTTACATCATCGCAAAACTAGAAAAATGTGTTGTCTGTTCACAAAATGAAGTAATCTGGACAACTGGATAAGTAGTGTATTTCAACTATTAGATAATTAGTGCTATAAATAATAGTGGTGTTATTAACTTAAGCAAGTCCAAAACAAACCTTACAGAAAGTGAATGGATGTGACAGGATGCATCATTAAGATGCTGGTCAAGCAGAAAATAATACGCAGGGAGCTTTTCCTTGAATATTTAAACCAAAAATATCAGCATTAAAAGCTATATAGTAAAATGTCTAATTGATAAAAATGCTGTTAATTCTGCCACCGTAATAGAGAGTTGTTCCTGTTTTTTCATGAAAATACACTAATTCCATTGCTTCATATTACTTTTTGTGAATAGACCTGAAAATTATTTTAGGAAGTTTTCATTTTCACTGTTCAAATGGTTTACAATCTCTGTGGCAGTAAAACTAATTCTTCTCAGAAAATCTTAATGTAACTATGAGGTTTTCAGAAATACCTTATCACAGAAGAGAAATTCTCAATAATCAAACCTTTAAAGAAAGCTGTCCACAATTGGAAGTATGATAAACTTGCTGGGGATGACACGCTTGCATCCAACAACCAACAACCAAGTGATGCAGTTAAATAATTTTTGCCCCCACAGTATTTATCAATAGCCTGAAGTCCTGGCTTGGCCAACAGCCCATTGAGGTCTCTGTTCTGTAAAACTGCAACATAATGCAGAAGTTCTTAATTCTATTTTTCCACTTGTACTTAGAAATATATAAGCTTAGTAAGAACAGATCATGTGAATGAAGTCAAAGAGAGGCAAATATCAGTTAGAAGCCTCCTGCAGCCGACGTTAGGAAACTGCAATTGCTAGTAAATCTCAGAAGTCAAGGGACAGTTTATTTCATTCTCTGATCTGAAATAATTCCATTACATTTTAATTCACACTGGAAACTTACCAAGCAGTAGAAAGTGCAAGATTTTTCTTTTATTAAAATACAAAAAAGGTATTGCCATCCTGTAGTGTACCATCCTCTAGTAAACATTGGAAAACTATGCTTTAGAGAGAATCTGCCACAGAGATTGGTAATGATAATTCCATCTTTTTATGAAATAAAACTACTAACAAGCTGGCCTATTGAAGAAAAATCATTTCTTATTATCTCATTGAGGCATGCTTTAGTCATGTTTTGTGCATGTAATTGTGATTATATTGCTGGCATTCAGAAAAGCTTCTCAACCTGATAAAGTCTCAGTACTCCCGTCGTGTCTTCCATTTGGTCCAGCAGGAGTGCATCACTTCATACAGTAAGGCATAATTTTGCTCTTCCCACTCTCTGTTACACATTCTTCTGCTGTGGATCAGAGGAAAGATTGGGCTTAAGAGTTGGTATCTTTGTTTTTTTAAAGGTCAACTTTAACCATAACATAACATGCTTTAAATGTGAAATTACAGAGTCAGTATCTCTTTTCTTTTAAAAGATACCAAGCAATATTCTAGATTTCAATGTGTTTATTTTACCACAGTTTCACATAATGATGTTCTGTTTTCAGTAGACCAGGAAACTCCTGGAAACTATTCTGCTTTCACCGATGTGGGACAATGTACTCCAAGGGACAGAAGAGGAGCTACAGATAAAGAGGTAGCAAACCAAAAATAAATAATGCAGCAATATCCATATGGAAAAAAATCAATAATGTTTCTGAGACAAGATTTTTGTTGGTTATAAGACAACATAGTGATACAGAAAAAAGGAAGTGCAACTCAACACAGTATTTAGGTGGGACAGAATCTTTCTTTTTCATTAAAGAGACAGGTATGTAAAGTAAAAGAATATCAAATAACATAAGATAAGCTGCATCTTCTACTTACATTTAAATGGACGTGGAAATATCACATTTTTCAACCACACAAGAAACTGCCTCAACAGTTTCAAGCCTAACATCTGCAGTCCATCATTACTTTTGTGTTAAAAGAGGAAAAAAATACTGCTGTTGGTGTATTATACAAAAAGCATTATCCTAACAGCAATCCCTAATTTCTGTAATAGCTCTGGTGATCGTGATTGTCTGCCAATTACTTATTTTAATGCTTTGGCAGAGGGAATGGAAGCAGATGTACAATCTCTAAAGAAAGTAACACAAATTATCACTTGAAATATGCTTAAGAGAGTGATATACTCTTTTGTGTGTGTGTGTGTGTGTGTGTGTGTGTGTGTGTGTGTGTGTTCTAGAACTTGAAGCACTCTATAAGCAGGCTTCAGAGATTTTATTCAGTCGTATATTTATATTAATTTATATTTTTATATTAATTATTTACATCTGTAGACTACAGATTACAGAACAGATTAACATTTTCCATTAATCTGAATACAGTACACTGGAGTGTACTGGAAGGAAAGATTGCTCATTACAAATTAACAGTTAAAAAAAGTTTCAGGAGGTGTATTGGGCATGTAAAGAATTCTGAGTTCCAATATGAAAAGACGTTAGGTATATAAGAATGGCTTGTAGTGTAAGACTGCTATAATTTAAAAAAACAATGAGAGGACAGAAGACCTATATTTTGAATCTGTTTTGTAGATTTTGCATTCAGTCAGTCCCACTGTTCTTTTAATACTATCTCCATTCTTTCATTCTTTGGTTTATCAGTTACAGTACTAAAAAAGAAACAAACAAGCAAAATCAGTAAAGACTAAAAAAACCCCAAAAACCTAACAAAAAGAATATCCCCTCTCCTCCAAAATCAATTTTAATAGCAGCAGAGAAAAACGCTTTATATTTAGGCCATCCTACATGAAGGAGAGCTGTAATGGAGTATTATATCAGTATCAAAAAACATAATTTGGCAGGATCCCTTTAATAACTTTGGGGACTTTTTTTTTTTTTTTTTTTTTAATTAAAGACAGTGCTTTAGGTAGGTGCAGGTTCTATTTTTAAAATGCTGTCCCAAATACCTAACGACCTCAGAAAAGTAAGTTGCATATTTAATTACCCAAAAAGAGCCCCACTGTGAGAACTGCGGTAAAGTACGTGCACTTCTTTTATTAGATCTTGGTCACCTTTTTAAAAGCTAAAAATTGTTTGCCATATAGTAATACTACCTGAATGTGTTAATCATCTTGCCTACTTTTCAGAAACTGCCAGCTAGAGCTGTATATGACTTTAAAGCTCAAACTTCTAAGTAAGTACTAGACTTTTGTTCCTTTAAGTATTCATAGTCAAGGAAAATCTTTCCAGCGCTTGACACAGCTACCTGCTGTTAAAGCCAGTTTCTACAGCCAAATGCCATGAAAGAAAAGGACCCCAACTGCTGCCACAACAGCTTCTGCATTAGCATGCTGTATAAGAAGTTTTGTAATTAAAATGTTGTAAATTATTCTATTTTCCATTGTGCGTACTTGAACATGTGAGTGGCTGTGCATCTTCACCTTCCTATAGCAAGTCCTCAGGGTTGCCCACTGAATGGTCTTTGTTGTAAATCATATTTAGGTTGCATAAAGTAGCATGCTTAATGTGCTCTTGTAGACAGATTACTTTCTTACCAGAATTCTGCACAGTGCTTCAGAATCTTTCATACGTCTTGTCTTACCACAGATTTTCTGCAGGATGTAACATATCCCGTACCAAGATAAACTATAGTGGGCTGTCAGGGAAAAAGTAAATAAATAAATAAATGATAAAAATCAGAAAACACTGGTCTAGGATTGAGGAAGCCAGAGGAGAACATCATACTTCATTACTGCTGTTACCCTGGTGATCCAGGGTGTTCGAGTGTTCTTTAGATGCGGTACAACATTGTCAGTAATATTGCATTAGCTGTGTAAACTGACAACTTGAATTATCAGAACAGCAGATTAGGGCCTGAAAAAAAGACACTACAGCAAATACCACCCAGGCCAGGTACTGAAGATGTTCTTGATGATTTTGATAATTCCCTTTTTCAGTGCCCAACATTAAGCATATCACAGGCCTTGATTCTCAGAAATGGTGAGAACATAATCATGCTTCTGAACATCTTGGTCTCAAAAGAAAAACAGTTGACACAGAAGCACTCTAAGCGATGCTGCTGCAGAAAGGTAGTAATTGGGCACAGAAGCATGCAATGTGTTCAGTAGCTTTCCCTACCAATTTGTCAAGAACACCAAGTATGCCTCTGATACCCGTCAAAACACCTGCATCTAAACAGGGGACATTGAAGTCATCATGCTTGCCTACAGACACTATACTGTCCCCTCTGATAATAACTACAAATACTTTCTTGGAGGTAAAAGTTAGGCCTATATGACTTACCAATAGAATCCAGTGTTCATAAATGTGAATCGTTTTGTTTTGTAGGGTATAATCAACTGGTAAGTGTACCACAGCTATGACATCTTTTCTCCAAATGTTTAGTTGCTACATTTTGTTTCAGTTTTGAACTTAGAAACAGCAGGAGCTATGCAGGTAGAGGAGTTCAAATGTAAAGTTATAAACACCCAGTTTAAATGAATCTGTTACAGAGAGCTGTCCTTTAAGAAAGGAGATACTGTCTATATCCTCAGGAAAATTGATCAAAACTGGTATGAAGGTGAGCACCATGGAAGAGTTGGAATATTCCCAATTTCTTATGTTGAGGTTTGTTCTTTGTTTTAATTCCTTGAATTATTTTGGGTAACAGATTCACAAGCTACATGCAAATGATTAAAATCTGTTGGTATTTTTCTCCCTAGAAGCTTTCTCCTCCAGAAAAAGCACAGCCTGCCAGGCCGCCTCCTCCTGCACAGATTGGAGAGATTGGAGAAGCTATTGCCAAATATAATTTCAGTGCAGACACAAATGTGGAGTTATCACTTAGAAAGGTACAGCTTACAACTATTTTTTATCAAAATAACATTATGATGTCTACTGCTAAACTGAATTAATATATACATAATTAGTGCTTTGGTACTAAATTTGCCATGCACAAAGCAGTGTAATGCTAGAAAGCTGCTGACATAAGCTCATTAGCTTGCATTCTTTCCCAGCTGCCTGCAAATAGCTTAAATATTTTGTGTATATAAATATAATTGCTATATGCAAACACCCTCGAACTGGCAACCCAGTTTTCTACTTTTCATTTTAATTATCCATTGACCTTTTTAGGAATTGTTACTGTCTTCATTATCACAGTGAGGCTTCTACTGCTGGAGAAATAAAAATGCAGGAAATAGAAAACAGCAAAATTCAGAAGAAAGGCTCAGACATGTCTGTGAAAGTACTGGCTCTTGCAAATTTATCATCTTAGTAATAGTCTGCCCTTTCTTACATATTCCTGTTATGTCTATACACATACATGTTGGTGATGATCCTTTATTATACATGATCAAAACAAGTGTTTAATTGCTGGGGTTTGTCTGACTGAGATACTCGTGCTGTAGGAACTTTATTATTCGAGGTATTATGCACTTAGTTATAAGTATTACATATTCTTTACCCACTGGAAAATTTTACCTCATTTATTTTCTGTTTTAAATGAGTTAATGTTCATAGAAGTTATTCAGTGTTCCTCCTTTTGTGTAAAACTAAGGATACAGCTTTCTGATGCTCAATTAACACCTAATCTAGCATCACTGAAGGTAATGGGTATTTTTCCACTTGTTTGAGACTGGTGCATTTTAAAGAGGTCCAGAAAAAAAAAATCAGGAATAGAAACAGAACTAGAGGTGGGAGGCAGTTTGATTTTTTTTTTTTTTTTTTTTTAATTCCCTTTCATGCTGATTGTGGTGGTCACTATCTTGTCAGCCCTATTTTGGTTTGTTTTTAAAAGTTACATTTCCATCTTAATAATGATAACTTTAGGGTACTCCACAAATCTACTACAGAAACCTAAGAACAAAAAACTAATAGGGAAGGATTGTTCTAAAAAGACAGGGTAAAAAGCACATCACATCATATGAAGGAGCTCATTAAGTTTCAAAACTTGAGACAGAGATGTTTGAATAAAAAGTTGCTATTTTCCATTTCTGTTTCTAGGCTCTCTAAAAACAGTAAGTGAGCCACTGCCCATCTGTCTTCTTACATAGATACCTGCTTGTGCAGCATGCTCAGTGGGAAAAGCATTTATCTCTCTTTCCCCATGAAATAATTTTGAACATTTCATTTTCACTTAATATAATTTTACTTGATAATAAAGCACACACGTGGATTTAATTATTTAACTTCTATTACCCTTAGGGAAAATGGGGCATTTAAATTAATGCAGGCAGGGGTTGTGCACCTTCATCCCTGGAGGTGCTCAAGAGCAGGTTGGATAGGGCTCTGGGCAACCTGCTGTAGTACCAGATCTGGAGGTTGGTGGCCCTGCATGTGGCAGTGAGGTTGGAATTTGATAATCGTTGGGGTCTCTTCCAACCCAAGCCATTCTAGGATTATTTCATATTACAGTTAGGGTGTTAGCTAGTAGACTGGCCAACAATTTAAACAGGTTGTGCTCCTATGAAAAGTTTGTGTTAGCCCTCCAACCAAAAGAGAGATTCTGCTGAATAGCAAGAGCAGTCTGTAACGATCCTCCTTTTGCTGGAATGGTAACTGTTTACATGGTTATTATAAATGGCAGGAGAAAGGTGAAGGCAGAAACACTACTGCGGGGAAATAATTCTGTGCATTAAAATAAGATCAGTGATTTAAAAAAAAAGTTACTACTCATCTGCTGATAACACATTTTTATAATGCATTCCAGGGAGACAGAGTCATACTTCTTAAGCGGGTTGATCAAAACTGGTATGAAGGTAAAATACCAGGAACCAACAGACAAGGCATCTTCCCTGTTTCCTACGTAGAAGTTATCAAAAAGAATGCATCAAAAAGTGCTGATGACTACCCTGATCCTCCTATACCCCAAAGTTATTCTAGTGACAGAATACACAATTTAAGTTCAACTAAGGTAAGGATTGTTCTTCTTTGATATCACTCCTAGAGTGGGTTTAGAAGGACTTGTAAATTTTTTGTTAATGTGATAATACATTATTTATGCATTCAGTACACTCTTTTCTTTCTTAAATATATACTGCATTTGTAGAAGTGCATTACAAACTTGTCACTGAAGTATTTTAATGAAAGCTTTACATTCTGCCAGAATAGTTGCTCAGGAAGAAAAAAAAAAACAAAAAAACAAACACTGTGGGGTCTAGGACAGAATTTGAGCATCAAGGATATGTTTAGCAAATTCTTCATAATGCAACGTGAAGACATATCTGTCATCATAAAAGCCTGCAATCCCATAAGCATGCAAAGGGCATGAGAGGGTAGTTTACAAGGGGACACAGCTTGCCAAGAGCAAAGCTATGCCTTTCAATGTAAAAGAGAACAGATAGCGATTCTGTACTGTAACCTTCCTCCTTTTGCCAATGACACTCTACAAGGAAGCTGTTGGTTGAAGAGCAGTTCTTTATAGTGGTATGACAACAGTGACAGCATTGTATCATTCAGTAGTTAGTAATATGTCAGCACATTTTCAGTGTTTGGATTCAGACCTTCATAGCTGTGATTTTTCACACCAAACACGTCATAGTTCCTGAATTATTTTCCTTCTAGTTCATAACTACCACAAATCATGTTACAAAAAAAGATTCCTGTATTCCACTTCACTTTCAATATTTCACAGTATCCTTTTCAGATATAGAATCAATAAAGCTTCTGTATACAAATTGTGATTAGTATTAATGCATTATCAATCAATCATTTTGAATGCTAAAGATGGAATCTTTTCCAAATCTTTCTCTTTACCACTGTCAATCTCTTCACCATGGGGCGGTATGTTTTCTGTGAAATTTATAAAGCATCTATCTTGCCATTTGTCTGTTTCAGATGGTTTTCCCATTTTCTACTCTCACATACTTGCATACTGGTGCTTATTTAGATGCTTTGGGCTTTGGGATAAGTTCCATATTTATTTACAGCTTTTGGGACAGTCAGTTATAGGAACAGTGGTCTCTGATGATACTGCTTATGGCTTAGCAATATTAGTTGTTTTATAGTATTTGTTCACAGAGAAGTAGCAGCTCCTTTCTCTTCCATTCCAACAAAACTTTTGAACTGAAATAATATGAAGTTCTGTATCCTCAGAGTGAGGTATTCATGAGCTACAGCCTTTTCTCATTACAGTAAGCGGAAGGTCATTTAAGAGCATGAGGCAATTTAGGTGCTGCATGCTGCAGAACTGTCTATATTTGGAGACACCTCTCCCCCCATTTTCTGCGCATTTCCTGCAACTGAAGCTGTTTTTTGTCTAACCCTTATAATCTTGTCAGTGATCCCTTCCTGAGCACAAGTGATGCTTTGGAGTATTTACGTTCAGATAAAAAAAAAATAAAAATACATGCATGTTAAAAATTAGACTGTAATTTCTTACCTTCATAAATTATTTAAATTCTTCTGTGAAAGTTGAAAAGCCTAGACTTCGGGAGCCTTCACGTTCCTCCTGTATTCATTCACTCTCTCCATTTCAAAGTTATATTGAATATTGTCCAGAATTTTTAAATTTTTAAAGAAATAAATCAGGTAACAGCCATTTAGAATAGAAGATGAATCATTTAGTCAACATACCTTAACTGCATCCCATGAGAGCTGCAGAGCTATTGGTGGCTGCTCCTTTTCTAAAGCTGCTGTGATCATCTTGAGAGAGCAGGTGGAGAACATCCAGACATGCTACATGCTTCTCCTGTAGTCCACCTATGTTTGATACAGAGAGGTTATATGGACCAGATTTGCCTCCTCTTTGCAAGCAAGGATGAGATGAACTCATATCTTTCTTACTCTGTCATATCACAGCAGGTGTACATTTTCACCACTGTTTATGTTTTTAAATAGTGAAAATATTGCAGACACATTGGATTATAAATCTGTTCTGCCACTAATGTTATGTAATAGATTAGTTCTCAAGTGAAGGAGAGGGGCATTAGGCAATAAAAATAAATAAGGAGAACAAAGCTTGCTTTTGATTTATATTAACTTGGCCTAGAGCATCTGTATCTTTAGTGCATCCCGTAGCCATAGGAAACTAAAACTGGCAATGTCTCCTGGGCCATGTGACTTCTAAACCACAGGTCTGAAGCCCTTTTCCAAGACTAAATATGAGGGAAAGAGATGGAGTGTTGTTAGTAACACTCCAGCAATGTTTTAGCAGACCACACTATCAGTTTGGAGACTCTATACTTTGGTACAGAAGATTCTGTAACAAAGATTTGTCTAACTTTAAAATAAAGCTATCTGCCTCAAGAAAATTCCAGTAAAAGGTAAGTAAATTAACATTTCTAATTCTAACAATGATGTCAAACCATTTTCATTCAATTTTAATTTTGAGGATTAATAGTTATAAAAATGCATTTTCAGTATTTACTGAAGCAATGGATATCTACTGATGCTGTGTACGTATGACTCACCAGTCTCATTCTTACAAAAGGACGTTTCTTTTACCAGAAGGATACTTCAATCAATATTATGTAATGGTACTCAAAATATACTGCTGTATACTGTGCTGTCACTATTTTAAAGCTTTGTTGTTGGCTGCCTACGTTCAGTTAGAATTGAGTGTACCTTTCACAAATGTTGATGTCATTTTAAACTGATAGGGTTACTTTCAACGAAAAATACTTATGCCTTAATAAAAGTATGCTATGTATTTAAGATGTTTCTTAAGCATGTACTGAGAAGTACAAATATTAACATTAGGATAATTAGAAATCACCTCAGATGTTAGAGCTTAACTTAAATTGCATCAGAAGTATTTTTTGACAATCCTATGCTCAAAATAATAGTAATGGTTTGGGGGGGGGGGGGGAAGGGGGAGGGGGAAATCACATTAATTTTAATTGTATGATTTAATAACCTACGACAAGCTCACTAACAGAAAGCCATAAATAACATAACTTCAGCAGATCAAATGCAGGTCACCCTCATGAATGTAATGATCCAGATTTGTCTTGATGTTTGACATTTAAGCCGAGGCCAGAACCTGATACAGTTTCATTTTTCAAATGTCTTTTCTGCTGTTCTGATTCATGTACTAATGATTTCAGACACCCGTGCTCACTGAAATGATACCCTCTAATCCAGATGATGGCACAGACATTTGGCTTTCCAGTCTACTCATATCCCAGCTCTCTGTCATGCTTATTGATTTCAATTCCCATGTTTTTCTTATTTTTTTGAAGTTGCCTTTCCAAGCACTATCCCCACCTCCCAGATACCATTTCTCCTCTTGGTCACCCAATGATCAAAAGACACTCCAGGATGCCACTAATGATTCATTTTCCAGAACGGATGGTTTTTCACCTTCAAGCTTATGTATCTTACCACCTCCACAATTTCCAGACAGTTTTCTTTGTGACTTAGAAGAACTCAGTTCTTTGGCATTAACATCCCAATCTTTAGCAATCTCCCCAAATAGTAGCATTCATCAAGTTAAGGGAAATGATTTTATTCCAAATACAGAGATCTCTCTGAGCTCCACTACAGCTCTTCCTCAGTCTTTTCTCGTATCTGCCTCCATCTCACCTTCAGCCAGTTCATCTCATAACTTAACATATAAGCATGAAAGCAACAATACTGAACTAAGAAAATATAAAGACTTGAGAACTGAGAAGCCAAGTACATCTCTCAAGATGCCTAGAGACTTATCAGATACTACCACAGAAGATGAACATGTTTTCTCTACCTGCAACATCCTTTTGCCACATAAGTGTAGTTCCATCTCTGCCATGCCAGATGCAAATGCTGAAAATGAAGATGAAATCTGTACAGCAGATCTGTCAATTGACCTAGGAGATCAGTCAGAGCCTCAAGAATCAGATTTCTACAGAGAATCAGAAGACACAACAGAAGAACTGATAAAACTCTATATAGAGGAGGATCTGATACATGACGATTTAGCGTTTCCTGTAGGAAGTAGAGGAGATTCCATAGTATGTTGTGAAGGATGCACCTCACCGAGTATCTATAAGGTATTTTAATCTCCAAAAATCATGGCTTCTGTGTTCAGATAAGTAACTTAGTATAATTTTTCTCTTCTTTTCCTTGTATTTATGTTATTGTACTGTGTGCAGGCACAGTTTTATTCTATGGTGTTGAATAAAAATTGTCAGTTAAAGCATAGTCCCTCCTCATAAGCAGGTGCTGACAACACTATGTTCTTGGGTATCTCAGTCCTGCTTCTCCTCTCCCTTCTTTCATTGTTGACTTCTCTCATCTTTCACAAAAAGCCAGGGAATCATTCTCCTCTTGTGCCACCCTTCTGAGCACAAGACCCCAGAAATGCTGTCAGCATTATTCAGAGGGAAGGATGCATCTCCTGTGGAGACTCAAGTGTTTGTACCTCACGTGTCACTTCACCAGCCGATATATTTATAGTAGACTGTTTCTAGAATGTGACTAGAAACAGATCAGATTACGTTTGGCAGATTACGTTAAACATATCCTTCCCCATACAGCCTGCCCTGGTTCCCCTCTGGAACAGTGCAACAATGAACTATCTCCAATGCATGCTAGCCATTAAATGCTATAATGTTGCCACAGTTTGTGTCATTTCCAAGCAGTTTTAGAACAAAATTTCTCTGTCCAGCACTTATTTTCCAGAGCGTTTGTTTTACGTGCTTGCATGAGCCACCCAAAGCAACTGCCTGAACAGTCTCGCTCTTGAAATGTGTTAGGCCAAATGTAAAACTAATCAATGAGAAAGATTTTGCAGACTTCCTTTGCCCTTACTTGACCTCAATGACATGGGAGAAAACAGTAAAAGTAAAGGTGAAATCCACTGCCACAAATAGTAATTTAATTTTTGAGGGAAGAATTTTCTTCCATAGTAGTAGATTGACAAATAATCAAAATTAGCATCCTATTTCTGACTGTCCATGTTTGTTACATGACTCCTTATTGTGTGTTTTAAATCCATAACATCTGGTTGTATAGCATAATTATTTATCTTTTTTAACTGTTTAAGACAGCTCTGCTTTCTACGAAAACATCAGAAGAGTCTGATACTCCTTTCCACCTTCATTCAAATCTACCATTTCACTCTGCCAACACACCAGCTTCTCACTCTGTTCTTACAACATCCCACTCTGCTGCTTCCCTCTCACCTCCTCTCATATCTAAACTTTTACATGAGCAGGAGAAAGATTCACTGAAGGTAAAGGTAACTGCACTTCTCAAGCATGGATTCTTGAAAATCTTCACTAATATTTAATAAGTGCAAGGCTAATCCTAAGCATCTATTGTTTCCCCTACTAACATTAAGTAACAGCATGTGGAGGATTAAGGTAGGCCTTCTTCAAATGAAAAGTGAGGAAAAACTGTAATCTCTATAATATATTGAAATACATAGGTATCTCTAAAAGTAATGCCTCCTATTTTTTCCATGGAAACTACAACAGTTACAAGGAGCATGATAACACTATTTGATAGAGCAAATTTTCAGCTAAAAAGCACAGTCACTACCATTAGCAATGCATTTTTGCCAGTGGTAAGAACCTGCATGCTGCACTAGTGAAAACCTGTACCAGCCAAGGTGGATCCACTATCGTGGTCCCACTGCTGAAACGCACCGCCCACCACCTCAGTGTGTTCACACACACTGTTTGGTCTCCACAAACATTCAGCAAGCACCAATGAATATCAGTGGGTACCATTTTTTCCATGTGGAGGAATTCAATGACGTACCTTTGGTTCATACTCGCTTCCATGCCAGACACCATGCTGTCAGACTGCCCCTCTGCTGCCATCCACCACACTGCAATAAACCGCAGTGGAATACAGATGGGAAGGTTTAACGTCTACTTCCATACCACTAACATCCACTTCTGACATCAGAGGCCAACGTAATATGAGACCTTACTTGTGAAGTAGCCCTCCAAGATAGTAGCAGAGCAGAAGACCTTCAGCTCACTTACAAAAGTTCATGCCAGGACTTCTTTTTCATCTGAGTAAGAATACTGAACAATATCCAAGTAAATGGAAACAAAGCAATATTTGTACTTGAAAACACTTTTTAAATTTCAACCCAAAGCCAAGGAAAACAGCTCTAAGTTTTACAGTAAAGCACTGCTACACAGAGTAACATTCTAAATCAATTAGTCAAGGACTAAACAAAGATTATTCTCTCTTCAAGACTACACTTTCTGTCAGCCTGCAATTCTGTGGCAGAAAAATGAGTTCTGGACAAGGTCTACAGCCCTAGGCAGATAAATTCTCAGTGCAGTTTAGACCCAAAATCAATTTCCAGTGATGACTCCCAGAGTGTCCTTGTGATGAGGAAAAAGAGTCACATTAAAAGTTTGAGAAATCGTCCTGGGAAAAGTGATCATTAGCTCCTTTTTTTTTTTTTTTTTTTATTTTTTATTTTTTAAAGAAATCATTGAAAAGCCTACATCCTTAGACAGTGTGTTAATGGAAAATTTAAGTGTAATGGGCTTCTTAAGGTCTGCAAGTTGCAGGGTTTTTTTATTGTTTTCCTGAAGGGAATTATTCCCAGGAGTTCTTGCTAGGGTATGAATCTATCATGGGCTTCTACTTCAAGGAAGCTATGAAACACAGCAGAGCATTTGTTTCTGCCACTTTGAATAAAAGCAGCAGAAAGGCATTTTTAGGTGATCCTGATATGTCTCGTCCTTGTTTAAGGAAGGCAGGTTAATCTCAGATGAAATCGGAGGGAAAAACTTTTCTTGGAAAAAAAAAAGGGGGGGGTGGTTTCTACTCCTGGCAACCTCTTAAACAGCGCACTGCTATCTACTGGGCATGGTGGGAAGCACGGAACACAAGTAAACACAGGCCGTGGCTCCAGCTTTGCAGATACAAGAGCCACAGTATCAAGAACTAGGAGGAACGAAACTGAGGGAGTGATGTTAAAGAATTCTAGCTCTGGTTCTTTTTGAAAATTTCTTAAATTAATAGATTCTTTTCTGCAATATTTATGAAGTGAGATAAAGATTTAATTTCATTCCAGCAGTAGGTAAATTTGTTTCAGTGACAAAATTGCCAGGACAGTTGTAGCTTAAAAAAAAAAAAAGAAAAAAAAGCAGAAATTTCCAGGACTCAGGCACTACCAGTGAAGTTGTTCAAAGGAGTTCCTGAAACTCTATACTTTCATAATGTCTGTTAATGTAAAAATACATCCATATGCATATACGTATTTGGAATAAGGCTCAACTCTAAAGCATGACCTCAGATTCTGGACAGTAGAGTACAAGTAGCTATATGGAAGAGAAGCATCACTTCCACCCATGATGGTGGGAAGAATGTATCCTGCAAAGGAAGAGCTGTAAAGATACTTTCAGAGGAGAACTACTGATGTATTCCTGCCTCCTTGACCTCTGCTGATTTCCCTTCTTTGGCCATTCACCAACTTCTAAAAGGGTTTTCTGCCTTACCACTTTCTGCTGGCAAACAAACAGACAAACAATACAAAGAAGAGATTTCCACCATACGAGGACTCCACTAGCATCACGTGCCTTTCTACTCACCAGCAGGCTTAAGAATTCACATTTGCCTCCCATCCTTTTAAGAACAGTTCATGTCAAGTATTTAGCTGATTAATGGTGATGTTAACCAAACTAGGATTTTTCCTTGAAGTACTTTCCACCAAGTACGAATTTGCTTTCTAAATGCAAATTTAAAGTGTGGTGTCTGTTTAACAGCAACAAATAACAACATTTGTCATTTGTATTTTCGAGGTAGTGTTTCTGCTGTCTGCTGTTGAACTTTTCCTGTATTAAATGAGCTACTTCAGTAGATAGATTTCCAACAACTGTTCTTACTTCAAATGCATGCATTGTGCTTGAATGATGACTTAACTTTAATGCGTAAGTGCACGTGCCAGAGCAGCAAGCCCTTGAGAAAATGATAAGTGCAAAAATGAAAATACTATCTACTACCAATATTATTACATGCACCTGTAGCACACTTGCCTTTTCTCACCAAGGAAAGCACATCCAATCTGCATGCGTGAATGAAGTGGCAAAAAATCCCAAGATGCTTCATTCATAAACACTCAATTGACACATTTTTGTGGTTTTTCTAGGCTAATTTAAAGAGAGAGATATTTGTTATGGGTAAACCTCCTCGTAGCCCTGTGATGACTAAGAGATCCTGCAGCTCCTCTGTCAGAGGTCACAGCTATTCACACAGGGTATGGTACCAGATGCCCAGTGTGCAGTAACAGCATTTCCATATTAAAGGAGCTCAGTGTCTACAGTATTTTGTTTTTGCCCAAGTGTCTGAATACTATCAGTATGTTGTGTCTTCTTCCTGTTGTGCTTCTGTGCTATGTCTGAATAAAGCCAACAGGTTTCCATGTGCCAAACTTGTTATAAATCCATTAGTGTATTGTATCTCAGCAGTACTGCACAGTATTTCCAGTGCTACAAGATATAAGAGATCAAAGGTCTGCAAATATAGCCTGTTTTTTGTCCTAAACAACGCTTGATTAAAAGTACTTCTAGTTTATTAAAGTTACCTTTGCCCTTACTTTTCCTTTAAGGATGAATTATTTTCTGCATCAATTTGTTAACACTAGACACTTAAAACTTGGAATTAGTTGCTTTCCATGTAGTCACTCCTGATTTAGAGCATCTTCTTTCCAGGTGCTTCCTTTTCAAAATTTCAATTTAAGATATGCAGGTTATTTTAATTTTCAAAGTCTTAGCTTTTTTGGAAGGCCTTTGTTTGCTGCAAGGTACAAGGAGACAGTACTTTGTACTGTCAGTGCTCCATCTTTGAACAGAGACAATCATAGGAAGACCAGAAATTTTATAGTACTGGAGCAGCACCATCTCAGAGAAAGTCCATAATAAAGAAAATAATTATATCCACACACACGCACGCACAAAAAAACAAACAAACAAAAAAACCCCCAAGACCTATTTTAATTTTGCTTGTTAGTCCAAATAAATGGCATGCAGCCAATATGCTGAAGGGACTGTATTAGTCAATATTTAGTGCATTCATGAATTTAATTCCAAAACCACGAGAATACATTTATACATTTAGAGCTCTACAGAACTACTACAAGCAAGGGCACATCAGTAATGCACGAAGATCAAGTATACCACTGGAATCCTCACTTGATTACACACTTCCTAACATTTTTTTAGATTAGGCCTTACTATTTTGTTTATTTATTTATTTATTTTAACCAAGGAAACAGGTCACTGTAGCAAACCGATCCATAGCTGAAAGCCTACTTCCTTAGCATGAAAACTAACTTAGCATTTATGGTGATAAATTTCATGGTATCTCTTCAACACCGTTGGCTAGAATATAAGTGTTGCACATTCTGGCTAATGCCACTGTATAAAGAAATAAAAACTTAGGAAAAAAAAAAATGGGGGAAAAGCTTCTTAAAATAAGCTCAGGTAATATAGATGATCACATTCCAAAGTCTCCTGTTCAGATATAGCACCTAATTTCCCCACATCTTGACTCTGCCAAAACTTCCTCTGTAGTAGGAACATCAAGTTCCTACTAGAAAAATCTCTCGCCATCATCTTGTGTCATCTGTTTCTGTGGTAGTTAACTAACAGTAAAATATTCTAGTATTGAAGCATATGCAGAAAAAGAAAATTCACCAAATTTCTTCTTGGCATGGCATATATTCAAAGCATTAAAATCATTCACAGTATCATTTATTACATTGGTTTTTATTGATTACAAGAAAAATCCATAACTTTGGTTGAATTCTCTTGCATCTCGGACAGTTTTTGCCATTCAGATTACATCAGGCTTGTGACTAAGATAAACTCCGGATTGCAATACACATATGAAGCAATCTGCCCAGTGCTATGTTCTTTTTTTGTTCAACAATTCAGCTGTTGAAGGAGATTTACCACGAACTCGAATGTCTAATTTGCAAGCTTTGTTGTTGGATTCTGCAGTAATAATTTTCTTATACACAAATGGAGGAGAGGAATACGATGGTGAACAGAGGATTAAAGAGTAAAAACAGACCTTTTTGAACCTTCAAAACCTGTTTCCTCCCTAGGTCTCATCTTTATGAATAAGTTTTGTTATCAACCTGCCTGCATCTTTAGGCACCTTTAAAAATTTACACTCTACAGACTGTAAAGATGAAGCAGAAAATATTCATGATATTTTCTGCAAGTAAATACACAGCCACTGTGAAAATAAACTAACTCCTTTAATTACATCTGGAGATGCTGGGAAGTACAAAAAAAGAATATTAAAATGCACTAGTTTTTCAATTTCTACTAGTAGGCTATGGGTTAGTTACCACACGCTTCTCCCATGGAAGACTGCATCATCTTAGAGAAAATTGAAGCAGGATGATCTGGAATAGCCAAACATGGGAATGAAAGAAGCATGAATCACTAACAAAAGCCTCACAGCTTCAGGATCAGATTGCAATCTACTCAATTCATGAAAGAAAGTGTTATAAGCTGTGTTTGACACCCACGTACTCAAAATAGTGGCAGTTCCTACACTGGTATCAAGCTGTCAGTCTCCTCAACACTATAGGGCATCCTCAATCAACGCTGCTCATATCAACACTCTTCCAAGCACCTGCTCCTGCACTCTTTCAGGCCAGGGCTACGCTGTAATTTGTTAAGTCATTATCTCCCTAAGCAGGTTTCCACTGGGGGATTAATATCTTTCATTTACATCATTTGCAGCTTTATTGGACATTAGTGGTGTGAGATTTAACACAAAAAATAATTCTTTTAAAAATTTGCACTGGAAATACATTTTTTTTTTCCATCTTAAAGTAGAAGTGTTGTTATTTTCAAATAATTACATACAGTCTTTCAAAAATTCTTAGTGTTCTTGGTCTCCCAACAGCCTGCATGGCTTTGTGTTGCCCCTTGAGCTGGAACGGAATTAAAGCATAGCATGTTATGCCTGCCAAGTTATTACTGTGTGTAATGTAAATTGGATTGTTCTTTTGTGTATGGATGGTCTAAATTCTGCAATTAAGTATTCGAGGTTTTGTTTCACTTAACTAAAAATATACTTCAAGTAATGTATAATGTTCATCACTTGCATCTAATTTTTCTAATGCTATTTTTGTTTCACTGCGATGATGCAGCAAACATCCGTTTCATTCTGTTCCAACTTTCTACTATGCCATAAACAGACTGTGGATAAAATTAAGTTTTGTTTTAGTTTTTACCTTGTCCTCTTCAAAAAAAAAAAATCAGATTTCTAAGCCTACCTAAGCCTATTGCTTGCCGCGTCTCCTAAGAATTTATTGTGAGGTTGAGTGTGTGGGGAGGGTTGTTTTAAGCAAAGTAGAATACGAAAGCTTAAGCAACTATGCATCATACGCCTATCCAACTACTTGGATCTTAGACTATAAATCCTTATTACATTTCAAATCATTTCATTTCAGCCACAGCGCCCTGTGCTTGCTCATGAAAACATACACAGTGGGGGGGAACCGTAAGTATACTTCTTGTCTACTAAAGCAAACCTAACAATTAAGCAACAGCCAGCACATTCTCAGATAATTTGTTGACCTGCCAAGTACAACTATGAATAGATTTTGTAAATTTACAGATAACCACATGATGTAGGAAGATATCCAACATAGTCCCACAGGACAAAGTTTCAGTCATATAATTTAATGTTTGATGTAATCATACATCAAACTCACACTTGCCAACTTAATGTTCTCCATCATTTATACCACAAAGGGACAATAATTTTGTAAGGTTTGACTTTTTTTTTTCAGAATTATTCTTATTGTCTCCACTGTTCTATCTTAGCAGAACACAAATTACAGTCTTTACATTAATTCAACTCTTCTTGCAATGCAAATTAGCCAGAAACCATTCTGAATGTGAATTGATAACATTAATCATGAGAACACAGAAACACTTTTGTGTAATTTACATGCGCAATTTAAAAATTAGATACAAAAAAGCTTTTTGAAGAACTGGAGAAGAACCTAGGTTTCAAGTTGTATTTTTACAACGCAAGCAATCAGAATGAAACTTGTAAGGTTGTTCTGGTGCTATTAAAATGCAAATTCAGTGCAAGATTGTTTCAATTTCTTATTTTTTTCCTCTAGCATCAGCGAGCTTTGGAGCTAGGTGAATTCTCCTGCATGCAATTAGGGCTTAGCATCTAAAAATGTTCAACAGCTTAGCTGAAGAAACAGCAAAAGAAAAGAAAGGAGCAGTTATCAAATGATAACTGGACCACAAACAATATATAATAAAAATTGGACGTTTTGCTTTCAATCTCTCATTTTTTCCTCAAGCTGTTGGTGGGACGGCTAAGCATACTGAAGCACCTACCTGTTTTGTAAGCAATAATTATCTAAATAATGTTCTTCAGTGGATTTTAGTAGTGCATGACTAAAATTACTCCATCCTAAAAATATATATATATATTTAAATTGTCAACCATATATTGTCCTGAATATGCATTTTGTCAGTATTATAAGTTTTAGTAGTCTTTCCTATTTAAGAATTTCCTAACAAAAGGAATTCTAAGTGAAATTATCAAAAAGGGAATTAAATGACTACAAAAAGAGTTATGAAAATGGATTAGCTAGATAGGACTAAGATGACAGAGCTGGAATACTTCACCCTCTTTCACATGTGACTGCCCTAGTCTACACCTTCCTTTTAGCTTCCTTCTTCTGAAGGGAGTCACTGTGTACAGTTTTTTGTGCCTTCTTTTTCTCTCAACTTTATCTGTTTTATTCCCTGTTCATCTCTGAGGCTGCTGTGACAGGCACATTCAAGGCAAGAGGTATAAGTGCATATACTAACTTGTGGTCTACCTCTTATGAGGTGTTCCACTTTGGAACTTATTCTTTTTCATTTTACCAGCTCAATTTGTCTCTTTCAGCCTTCACTACCTCTGCAAATCTTTCTCTCGGGCTCTCTTTAAAATATTTTCTCCCTTTCACACATTTTTGCCAGCCTACCTCCTCTTCCTTTACGACAGAAACAATTTGTAAAACCACCTATTTCAGCCCTGTAGATAGCTGGGTCTCATTTTGCCCTCTTCCTACAGTTACACAACAGAGGAAAACTCCAGGCTAACACAGGCTGTCCCACCAGCAAGGGGCAGCTGACTGAGGAGAGGCCTGAACCCAACAGCTGCTCCTTCTCAGTACTCCAGGTGCAGGCCACTGCCTCAGGTTTCATTTATGGTCACCCTTGCTTCTTGGAGTTGCTTGCCACTTAGCTAATGCATAGAAGGACAAATTTAAAAACCCACCCCAGCAGTGATGACTTGTGAATAACAAGGGACTGATGTAGCAGGGGCAGTTTTAAGAATTGAAAGGGTTATAGCTATTTCCACATAGCAATTACTGCCCTCCTTCCCACAAAGGTAAGCCACCTTTCTACGTGCAGAGCTCCCAGGTGCCAGCCCTCCTCTAGTAGGTGCTAACAAGCAGCCCAGGGCAGTCCCCACTTTCAGAGGCAGTATGTGTGAGCTGCCCTCCTCAGCATCCACACCACATCACACAGCAGGGGCCGTGTTTGTATGGTACGCATTGGCTCTGCCATGGCAGTGTAAGGACAGCAGGATCAGCAAAGCAAAAAGCATGGTCTTCAATGCTGCTCATGGGGGTTAAGAGGATAGTGCAGGCTACAGCCTCCCTCTAAGAAATTACATTCTCTACTTTGATGACTCAACTATAAAATGTTTAAACAGAATCGTGTTTTAACCAACACTGTGCCATCAGGCTTGCCTTGTAGCCTCAGTCTTCACGGCCCCATTCTTTTGGATAAAGTTGGGTACTAGCCTTGATATCTTCCACCAAGCAAAACAAACCCTTTTACCCTTTTCTTACGCTTGAAGGGAGCTTTACTTACGAGTTAATGTTTAAAACAGCTTCTTTAATGACAATGCAAAGAACTCTTTCTTCTTTTTAAAATGCAACATTTGTCCTATTTAAGGTTTCAGGCTCTATATAACTATACTCCTAGGAATGAAGATGAATTGGAGCTCAGAGAGGGTGATGTCATTGATGTGATGGAAAAATGTGATGATGGATGGTTTGTGGGTATGTTTTAAATGGTTGCTTTTTCATATATTCTTTATTCCTGACCTCTGCTGCCCTGTTTGTTTGGTGTCTTACAAACTAATTAATCTTTGGCATTCATTGTAATAAACCTGAACCTGGTTTTACCAGGGGAAATCCCCACCAAAATCCTGTGAAGTTAATGGGTGATCATTCACTTCTGCACTTGGGAATTGACACATGCTTCTAATTTGTTGTACAGCATTATTATCATTCTCACAGTGACACAGAGTGGACTGTGTATTGCTCCTCATAAAAACTTACACGAGTACTGCTACAGAACTGACTACTTGTGAAAACTGAGTATTACTGAACAAACAGATGCTTAGGTCTAAATAAGGTGGCTAAATCATTGCATAAACATTCATGCACACAGTGGCTAAATTCTTTATCATCTTATTAATCCTTAGCATTTCGAAAATCCAAATTAGTTAACTACAAACAAATGATGCCGTTAAAACTAAATGATTTCTATGCACCAAGTCAAAATTTCAGCACATTAGATTTAGAAGAGATTTCAACTGAGCTATATAATTCAATCAGATATGCCTATATTTGCTTTTTCCTTCCTGCAGATATAATTTGTTAAAATTCACAACTCGCAAATGAAATACAAAATTCACTTAATTTAATGTAAAGAACAGTAGATACATTTGTAAAATATTAAAAAAAAAAAATTCAAGGACGTGCTTACATAGAGATTTTCCTGTTATTATTGCCTTCTTTCATCTATTGCTTCTAATTTCAGGAACTTCAAGAAGAACCAAATTCTTTGGTACTTTCCCTGGAAACTATGTCAAGAGGCTGTGAATTTTTTTCATTCTTATTTATGCTGCATCTCTGCAACATATCTGCATAAAGCTGCTAGAAAACATGCTACGCTGGCCTTCTGTTTTCTCGCTTGCAGTCTCAAATAGAGGCCATCCAGTTCATCCTCATCCCATCCCATCTGCCAAACCGTTCCAGCAGTATTACAGCAACGACTACCGTGTGAATAACTAAGCTTTTCTGAAACAAGAGGAATCCTCCCTACCTATAAGTACTCCCTGCTTTTAACTCTTTTTATTTGAAACACGATAGGAAAAGCCTGATGAGAGGTACCCAGAAGAATTGCTACGGTGGTGGGGGGTGTAAGGAGAGGGAGAAAGCCTTCCTGTTTGGGACATTTGTGGTACTGTCATGAAGTGCGATGGGAAAACAAAATTTTTCAGCATGCATGTATAACAGAGGGAAAGTTGCTGCTTACTATTTAAGAAGAAAAAAAAAAAAAAACAAACAAAAAAGGTGTTTTGAGTTTTCATATTCTTATTAGCTTGGCAGCATTTGTTGCTTTCACTTTGCTGTATCACAGGTTTGCCTATTGTACTGGTTTACAATGACAAATTATAATATAGGTTTTTTGCCTGCACTTGTATGTTGTAACTTATGCACAGTGACTGTAAAATCTCAAGCAAGTGTAGTGAAAAATGGAAGAACTGCAAGTGTTCTGATGATGCAATGGTATTTGCTAAACCCTTTTTTCCCTATTAAAGCTACAGCATTTTCTCTTCAAAGGTAAGAAGTGCAAGAGGTGTAAAACCTCAGGAAACAGGATTTAAAGAAGAGACAGACAGTGATATAAGCACAGACAATAACAACCTGCTGGTCATATGACATTAAATGGTTGTAATCAAAATGTTGTAATAGTCAGCAGCATGAAATCTGAGAGGTTAGTGTTTTTATGTACCACAGGCATTTTAAGAAGCAGCAAGTAAACAGTGTTAGTGCGAAGGATTGTTTTTCCTCTAACATAGCCACCTGAAAAACATTCACAAGTATCATGTACTGATTTATTTCACTATACACACACACGTATATATACACACATGTATGTTAACAAAATCTGAGTTACACTTTTTTTTTTTTTAGGAATTTAGTACATTAAAAAAAAATCACAAGTATTAAAATCAATACGTTTGAGAGGGTTTGGGTTGTTGTTGGTCTTTTTTTTTTTCCTGAATGAATCAAGTATTTGAAAACAGATATTCTCCATATGCAACCGTAAGCATAAATAGCATACTAAATTAAGGCACAGGATGATAATGACTACGACTTCATGAAAAAAAAAAAAAATTGATTTTTTTTTTTTCTCCAAGTCAGATTTGTTTTCTTTGGCACCTTATAGATGGCAAAAGCTTCTACTGCATTTCTCATGGGTAAAGGACTGAAATTATCAACATGTATTTAGCCTCTGTAGCATTTTGTACATATGTTTGCTTTTTTGTACAGAGCCATTTGGTTGTCGATTTAAAAAAAAAAAAAAAAAAAAAATCAAGTTTCTTATTTGATCTTCACCCTCTTTACATACAGAACATTTCAATGCATTTTGCTTTACTTTCTCTATTTACCATAAGCACATCTGAATAGTGCAATTCTGTAAGATAGCATTTTATGCAAAATTTTATTAATTAAAATATGGTTTACCAGCCAAATCTAAATGTACATATGTCTTTATTACTGAGAAATGTCATTAAGACGAAGGTAAAGAAACATCTTTGTGCAGCATACCTTTATTATTGCAGATTTAATGGCAAAAGCTTTATATTTCAAAGGCTTTCAATTTTAAACTAGATCTGCATGCAGCTTTGCTGTGAGATTAATTCCTATCTTTGATGCCATTTATGATTGAAGACTTAAATATCTGTTGCCTGTGATATTTAAAAAGTACTGTTTCTACTCTGTATCTGATTTTAGAAAAATACAGGTTTTTCATACCTGGCTTTCAGGTAATTGACTTTGAATTCCTACAAGCAAAAGGTCTCTGTGTTTTTTTCTTGAATAGACTTCTAATAAATTTTGCTTGGAGTACACAAGTGTTTCCCAGTCATTTCTCAAATACATGTAACAGATACTCAAGTGCTACAAAGCTCTTTAGGCTTTTACATGCAAGTACAATCAGTGTTGCCTTTACAGAGATTTTCTACTACCACTGAGCATACACAGGTTGCAATATGGACAACCAGTATTGTCAACACAGTTGTCACTTCATCCACTTCAGTGTCACCCCTATAACTCCTGAATCCAAAAGGAACTCCTGGGCTTTCTGCACTGACTGCTAATGCAAGGTAATTTTTCTGTTACCAGAGCTGGCCTTTGCTCCTGAAGCACAGAGATAAAGTACATTACTGAAGCCCTTTGTATCTCACAGAAGTTCCACACCCTAATTCTTTCCTTAGCAAAAGGAAAACAAGAGAAACAAGCTTAGAATTAAGACTTAAGGAAAATACAGGCTTGGGAGAGAGCATCTTATGCTTGGGACTCTGCCTGAAGCACTGAGTTACGTCCTGTTAATGCCTCTGCCTGGCAAACAGCAGCTTGCTGTTCAAACAAAACCCAAACCCACAGGAAGCAGAGCATACAGGCAGCAGCCTTCTTTCCCTGTGTGGTTACTCCTGGTGCCTCCGGGCTCCCTGGTCCTGCTCCTCCAGCCCTCGCTGGCCTCCACTGCCAGGATGACACCTTCCAGACGTGCTGCTCTGCACTCTTACTGCTGAAGAGTGCCGCATTCTGGCACAAATAATCTATTTCTGACTTGCACAGCTTTGTCTTTACAATAGCTGGGCTGTTAAAATGCCAGCAAATGAGCTCCTTTGTCAGCATAAACATTCTGCTGGGAGTGATTTCAATTTGGACAAGGCCTAATTTAGGCAGCAGTGCTGTCTCTGAGGTAAACATGCCCTTACAGCACTAAGTTAGCTTAAACCCACAACACATCTCTTGCTCTATAAACTAATGGCTGAGCACATGTTGCGTGGTTTGCCCTTCTGTCTGTGGCTGGGTGATTCTGTGCATCTGAATTCTCTTTGCTAATTGCAAGAGGGAATTAAAAAAGTGTAAGGATAGATCATAATAAGAATTGCAAGTCACTGACACCAAGAAAAGAAAAGAAAAACTGTAGTGCCTGTGGTTTAGTCAAAAAGTGTTGCAAGATGACCAGAAATGTAAAATTAAAGGACAACATGGAGGTGCAAGTTCTGTCCAGGTAAACAAAATATACTGGAATAAGCAATGTCTGTTGAAATTCCTCCTACACTATTTAAGTAACAGACCAAAGGACTTTTTGAGCTTTCTTGTAAAATTCTGATATACTTCCCTATAAATTCATGGAGGGTAATGCACAGAACTGGAAGGTGCTATATCTCTAACCAGAACTAGAGATAAATTGAGAAGAGAGACCTGTAAAATTTTATGTCAGTCAGTTTAACATCTAGGATTTTTTTCTAGAAAGGACCTCAGATTTTTCTAGAAAATGGTATAGCAAACCAATTCTCCTTAATTTTACTGAGGTATGTAGCATGGATCTTGACTTCTATTAGGATTTTCTTTTAATGCTATCACATGATAGCTATACTGGCAGGCTGAGAAAAGTCTGCTAGAGCGTTCCTGAAACTAAGTTCATTGCACAGCTGCACTGCATCACAGATCAAAAAGTCATGCAACCAGAGCTTCCCCAAACAGCAGCAGATTCTGCTGCCTACCTTTTGGCAAGCTATCCGCCTGCTGTCCATCACCTGCATGGGAGACAAAGGCCACTACAAAACAAAACCAAGCAACTCCACAAAACACCAACCAACCAGGGACACTGAGGCATGAGCTTTTCAAGGTAACACTATATCCCAAAGCTAAGGGTCACCCCAGCAGTTTTAACATTCTGTTGCCCGTGCCAAAGCCAAGTACGTTGTCATTCTGCAATGCCTGGTATTTACCAGCTGCCTTTTAGCTGCTGCTATACACAACTGTGGCAGGAACACAGGGTGCTTCCTGTAGATTCCAAAAAGCAACGCACGAGCTAATGGGAAGCTAGAATTATGAAGTAAGCAGCTCTAGAAAGACCTCAGGTCATTGTACCATGTAACTATGAATGCTGTAAGGGAAACCCTGGCTTTGCTTCAGTTAACAGCAAACTCCACTGAAGTCAATAGATTCTGAATTTGCTTCAAGGATCGTATTGTTAATACATTTTCTACCTTAGTTTGAAAAAAAGACCGCAGAAGAGAGAAACACTGAAGCAACTGGATGTCTGATCAGGGCTGGTTTTTAATCACATCAAGAAGTATGAGTGTGGGCAGAACCCAGAACACACTTCTTCAGCTGCCCCCACTGCACAGCACAGCTGATAGTAGGTACCCTTCTCTAGGGTCTAGCTGACACATTCACTTGAAGTCAAATTGTACACACCACCACAGTTGCAACAGCACATTAAAAATTGAACTACTGGCCTTTTCTGATTTGTTTACACAGCATAATCTCTTGTTATACTCAGTAAGGACCAATCAGACACAAACCTGAATCCACCCATCTTACAGAGCCTGGAAGTTCCCAGTCCAACATGTAGAAAGAGGTACCTCGTCTGTTCCAAGTAAGCAGGGGATGCTTTAGGCTTTCTTCTGCAACTCCTCAGATAACCAATACCACACAGCTATTTGACTGGATGCAAAGAGTGCTTTTTTTGTTTTGTCTACCCCAGTGCCACACGAGCTAAGTTTTAAACTCCTAGCCAAAATTGCTCCATAGGATCTGTTCTTCTCATTAATGCATTCTTTTGAAATATTTATCTACCAAGAATATGATACAATTCACTGAAATGGAAAGAGAAAAATGAATTTCTGCTTGCACATCCCTGACTCAGATACTGCTTAGGTCAAATGAAGTGATGCTGGTGACATACAGGCTCTTATTCACGTATTTTTGCCACTCTAAGACAAAGAAAGACTAAGTTTCCAGGTTAACATGCAGTGACAAAACCAGAGAAGAGCTTGAACAATACAGCAGGTACAGTTTTTGTTTTCATCCTGCTGGTTGGTAACACTTTGCACCTTACTTCCTTAACAGTTCTGAATCCATAACTCCCAACTCCTGTTTCATTTGCTTTGATGTGAGTCCCATATGTAAACTGTTACAGAGTTTTGCCATCTAGTATTATATTTGGGAGTCATTGAGGAGCAACGTACTAACACACTTTTTAATCTAGCAGAAAGTAGAAAGCCTTCATACTGAAAGAGCTATCCCACTAAGCAGCTGCAGCAGTGACGTCACGTCTAATTGCAGATCTGGTGCAGAGGATTCCACTGCACAGTGACATTACATCACAAACGACTCCAAAGGGAAAAAACAAGTGTTGTCTGACAACCAGAAATGCGTTGCTAGGTTTATCTTCAGAACAGATACTCCAGCTTCAACCATTTACATTTCTTGCTGCCAACACAAATAAACTCTGAGGCCGTTATTTTGCACCCACGTACACACATAGCACAGTAATCCTCCTACATTTTCCATCCACCAGGGAAAAAATCAATTTTTAAAATACCCCAAGAATAACGTAATTCTGCTTCCAGTCAAGACGGTTACCAGACAGTTGCACACAGGAGAAGAAACTTCTGTCACAAGCTCCCATCTCACTCTATGAGGGGGTCCTGTATTCCCTTGGACCCATTCCACATGCCTCATTTTAGCTCTAGCCAATTTGAATAGTAGCTTTCTATTTAACTATTGGGCCCTTTAATACTTCTTTGGCCCCTACTCCATTTTAGTTCATTTCAAAACTTTCTACAAACATCACGCACATGTGTAGTAGGGTAATTAAACCTGCATCAAGATTTTCCCTTGCCACTGAGACAGGTAAGCACAAACCAATGCTGTAGACGGCAGCACGAGTAGCCCAAACATGTCATTCTAAGTGGGTCATTGTATTGCTGCTGCCATTAGCCAGATAAATCTAGAGCACAGGAGGGCCCAGCTAGTGCTTCCCACTCTGGAGTGAGGGTTAACACTTGGCAGCTGTAATGTGAAACATGTACAAACACTGGCTGGCGCGGGAGCTGTAAAAGGCTTTTCTTACACTACTACTGATTCATCTGTTATAGATAGGTGTTTTCTACATGTAACTGGAAATATTCGAACAGGTGAGAATCAGCCCTTCCCCCTCTTAAACCAAGGAAGAGAATAAATTAATGCGTCAAAATGTCTGAGGTAGTAGATGGCAATGCTTGCATGCCAATGGAGAGCTCTGTGCACTATTTATAGATCTTCTTCATGTGCTCTATGGGGCTCTTACTTTTCCCTCCTGTTCCACCACTCATTCTCTTCTCATCAATCCTCAGAGGCTCACTGAAGGAAAGACTGCAAGGCATGGAAGGTGACATTCTAGAACTGAAAAATACTAAGGATCTGTTTTACTCTATTCAGTGTTTCTGTCTCATGCACCATCTTATCCAGACATCCCCTAAAACGCTACCTGCATCATATACTCATTGAGCAAGACTATCAGATCAAACAGTCAACTTGACAAAGAATCTTCATAGAATCATGGAATGTTGGAAGGGACCTTTAAGATTGTCTAGTTCCAACACCCCTGCTATAGGCAGAGACACCTCCCACTAGACCAGGTTGCTCAAAACCTCATCCAGACTGGTTTCGAATGCCTCCAGGAAGAAGGCACCCACAATCTTGCTGGGCAACCTGTTCCAGTATCTCACCACCCTCAAAGTAAAGAATTTCTTCCTAATATGTAGTCTAAGTTACTCTCTTCCAGTTTAAAACCATTTCCCCTTGTCCTGTCACTACACGCCCTTATGAAAAGTTGCTGCCCAGCTTTCTTGTAAGCCCCCTTCAGGTACCGGAAGGCTGCCAAGAGGTGTCTTCAGTACCTTCTCCCGGCTGAAGAGCCCCAGCTCTCTCAGCCTGTCCTCATAAGGGAGCCCCCTGTTCATCTTCATGGCCCTCCTGGTCATCATCAGGGAGGTGGAGAGAAAGGGTAATGATTGAAAGGTAGATTTACTCCATTTCAAATGACTTCCTCTATAAACAGAGA